ACTCATGCTTAACTCATCAATTATCCCCAACTATGCTAAAAGAAATGACATAAGAAAATGGAAGTGTGATGAAATCATCCAGAGTGGTGGTGTCCGATATAGTACAACTAGGCATATGTGGCCATTNGAGGGGATCATTGGGGGGAACAAGGGGACATCTGTAGCACTTTCAACAATAAAGATAAATTTAAAAGAAATCTTCCTACTCAGTATTCTAGAAATACTTCACCAATTACTCATGCTTAACTCATCAATTATCCCCAACTATGCTAAAAGAAATGACATAAGAAAATGGAAGTGTGATGAAATCATCCAGAGTGGTGGTGTCCGATATAGTACAACTAGGCATATGTGGCCATTTAAATTCAAATGTAAATCAATTAAAATTAAATAAAATTTAAAGCACAGTTTCTCGGTCATGAGATCCACAATTCAAGTGCTGAGTAGCCAGGGGTAGTTAGCTACTGGTTACTACTTTAGGGCAAATATACAACCCTTCCATCATCACAGAAAGTTCTATCAGACAGTGCTGGTGTAGAAGGATTGTACAAAAGTGATAGATGAATTATACATAAAATGTACTTTACAACACACACACACACACACACACACACCAACAAGGGCTTAAAAATTTGGTTCTTATTTATGCATATTGGCCGTTTAATGCCATGGTATTAAATACATTCTCAGAACACTCATCCTGAAAAAAATTTTCTATTCTGTCTCTTGTGCTATTCATTTTCAATAACAGTTTATTTTTAATGTAATTTTGTCAATGTCACATAAAGAAAATAAATGTTGAGCTATTGTCTTCTGTTCTGTGCATAGTTCTTTCTGTTAGTACAGATACATCATTCCTACTAAGAATTAAATAAAATCTGACTCAATCTGTTCTTCTAAAAATTAAATCAGAAGAAAAGTTATTGTTTCAATGAGATCTGTATAAAAACAGGAAGATGAATGAGAATTTCCATCTACAGAAAGAACGTGGCTTTTTCCACTGCTTGGGTACAGACTTTACTGTCACCTATTATGTGAAATGTGAGGCGTTTGGGGTTCACAGTGAAAAGTCAACAATTTCTTTAACTTCAAGTTCAAAGAAACTCTCTTCCATCATAAAGGCAGTAAAATTTATGATTAATATTTTATAAAGAAATGAATGTTGCTGTGACACATTTCATAGGCTGAGTCCTTAAATTGTGCATCACAGGATTACAAAGTTAAAACATTTAGCCCTAGAAATATAATTTCTCTTAGTATTTTTTTCATTATACTCCTTGATACTATGTGTTCAATACTCATTTCTTATTTCTCATCAAACTTGCCTTTCCACAATAACACAGAATTTTTATTTAAGGTGTAGCCATAACTTTCCATTATTTCAGGGATCTATATTTATTTTGTCACTCACCACAGAAAATAGCATCTTTTCTGCTTTGGGGGTTCAAAAGACTAAATATTTTTCTGCTTGGGCCAATCTTTGCAATTACTCATAGGAATGTTGTAAAACAATGTGGAAGTCCTAAATTTATGTTCCATAAATTCTAAACTAACCACCTTCTTTTTTACCCCCAACTCTTTCCATTTTGCTTCACTTGCACTGGTGGAAATTTCCACATCATGCATGTTGCCCCTGTGCACATGTGAATCCATGATTGACTATCTCTGAAAACAACCATTGGGATGCTTAGGTGTTTATAAAGATCATACCCAATTTGCTCTAATTTTGATGCAGACTCTTGCTAAATGTTTCCTCTCCACTCTCTACCCCTCATTTCATCTCTGGGGAATGTTCTACATCACTAAAGGAATATTCGGCATTATCACCAGTTAGTTGTAATTAACTTCACATACTTGAATGATGATATGCTAGATGCTAGGAAAAAATAATTTAAATAGATCTGGTCTTTCTCTTCTAGCCACTTATATATTAAACCATGATAAAATGAGTTATTTTTAATCGGCCAGCAAGTATAACATTTTCACGTAAAACTTTCTAAAAAATTAGGCAATTCAATTGCCTTCCTCCATAAAGTTTGCTTAATAATGCATACTGAAATCTGATGAACAGCTAAAAATGCCCAAGAAGTGTATAAAAGTTCCATTTTTGACTCTCAAGAAAGTGAAAATGACTGGCAGCTGACAACTTTCATGTGACAGCTAAGTTGAAATATTTCCAACAAATATAAGCAATCCTCTAGAATCTGAACAATAATCAGATGAAGCCGTTCTGTGGCTGTGGAGTGGAATAAGAAAAAGGCAGGCTTATTCCATGACCAGGTCTAAAACAAGACAGAGACCGGGACATTCAGCAATCACAAAAATTAGCACATTCAACACTGCATCTTTATATTAGCAAATCTAATTCTGCTTTAATATTTTTGCTTTCTAGGTAAAAGTTACTAAACATATCCATTATAAGGGTGCACTCAATCCAACAGCATCCAATCCTAGAACCCTTTTCAGAATATTCAGGACAAGCCTCTCCTCACACTAGTTATAAAGCCCCTCCTAGCTCTTACTTGTAGGCGAGATTGTCTGGTAGGCCTCTCCTTTGCCACAGCGCACCAAACAAACCTGATTTGTTTAAACTACTGGTAGATGTCTGAACATCTTTGGCTAGCAATCTTCAATATACCTTATGACTCACTTTTTATTTTTTTATATGTTGAAAATTACAGTTAAATCAGTAAATATTATTTTTAAATAGTCTTACATGGCTTTATGTGTAAGTGGAAAAAAAGTTTAAGTTGAGATGCTGATGATCTGGCTTCTCTCAACATGTCAAATTACACAACTTTTCATATTTTGAAAGACATGTTGATGAAATAAGAAAAAATAGAAAAGGGAAGATACTACAGACTGAACATTTTTCCCCCCTTCCCCACCAAATTCATATGTTGAAACCCAGTTTTCAATGTGATATTAGGAAGTGGGGCCTTTGGAAGGTTATGACTGAGATTGTGACCTTATTTAAAAAAGCCCAGAGAGCTCCTTCAGCCCCTTCTGCCACACTTGGACACGGAGAAGACAGCCCTCTATGGACCAGGAAGCAAGTTCTCCCCACACACTGAATGTGTCTGAACCTAGATCTTGAACTTCCAGCATCCAGAACTGTGAGAAATCAATTTCTGTTGTTTCTATACCACCTGGTCTCTGACATTTTTGTTATAGGGACCTAAATTTACTAATAAGGCAACTGACATATATTGAATTTCTATTTACTGCCATGAACGTACTTAAGTTGTCTAGTTTGTTCCTCATAGAAATTAATTCTCTAGCACATATCCAAATCTTAATCAATTTCAATAATTGTCCCAAGGTCACATTGCAAATAAGTTTTGAAATTTGGAGGAACTCTCAGATTGGGCTATAAAATGTGCCTATTTCTGAATCTGCTTCAATGAGAATAGGAAGAAAATTACTAAAACTAATGTAATATAATTGAAAGTATTTAAAATTATAATAAATTCAGTAAGTAAACTAAGACTAACTAAATCACAATGAGCAATAATTAAAAATCATAATCAGATTGACATTTTCTCTATTAAAAAAAAAAAAAAGTCTAGTTCCCTGGTACTTCAATCTTTTCTCATAATATCCTCTCTACTTTTCCTGTAGTTCACTCCACCCCAGTTTCACTGATATCTTTGCTGTTCCTAGAAACATAAAAACAATAAAGGCATGCTCCTATCTCATGGTCTTTATACTTGCTCTTCCCTCTCCCTGTGTGTATGTGTATCTATAATATTGCACACATATATTATACACAGCACACATACACACACACACACACTTTCCTTTGCCCCTACTCCTACCCCTCCAACTGCACTCCTATCACCACCCCTGCTTTATTTTTCCCCATAAAACTTCCTACATAACATACTATGTGTTGTATTTCTTTATTTTGCTTTTCTGTCATTCCTACCTAGAACAGATGCTCTAGGAGAACCGGAGTTTGTTACTGTTATTGCTGGTGGTGATTGTGACCGTGGGAAAATCTTGATTTGCTTTGTTGTTATTCTGTTTTGGTCACTTATGTAACCCCCGTGCCCAAAACGACGCCTATTACTTAGTAGGCACTCAATTAGTTCTTGTTGAGTAAATAAACGAAAACAAAATTTGCAGCATATTAGAAGACTGGTACTTAGATTTTAAATTTTAGGATTTAATGTAATTTAGATCTAAATTCTAAACTCAATCTATAACTTTGTAACAGATGACAAAAGCAAACCGAAAATCTCCAATATTTAAAAAACCAAGTATTCCCATTCAGAAATATAACATCTTGTGTTCTACTCTTTTTCTTTTCTACTTTATCTTATTTCAATTCATTCACTTTCCTTTTGATAAATATTTACTGATCACCTCTCCAAAGGCCCTTCCAAGTACTAAAAATGTTATGATTATAAGGCCACCATTTGCTAGTTGTGTGAACTTGGCCAAGTGACTCAACCTCTACACTCTTTGGTGTCTTCACCTGTCAATTGTGACTAAAGAGAGTAACTGATGCCCTAACAGATAACATGAGATGAGATAATGCCGGCAAAGCATTTACACTGCCCCCAGCCTATTGGAGTCATCTCATTAATATTGTTCTTCTCACTTGTAAATAATGATGCCGTTGATGAAGAAAACATACTAGATAGGCCCTTGCATTTATATGGACTTGGTATATTTCATAGAGAAGGTAAAAAAAAATAGTCTAATTTTAAAAGCAGAGATAGAAAGCACACATCCATCAAGTGGCCGTTTGGAAGGACATGAGGAGTCGTAGTCTTTTGATGGCCCCTTTACTTTTCTTCTTGGACTGTAATGCTACTCGGCCAAGCACGACTTTCCTTGGAACATGATTAATATTATTGAGGGTAGTTTCACTGCACTTTGCTGTAGATTCTGCTGCACATTTTCTGTAATTTCACGTAATTTTGAAATGATTTTAAATGTAGAGGAAGAGATCTGCGGCCGACACAAAGGGGGAGGAAGGGGCGTTTACTCACAGTGTATCTCTAGCACCTGCATGGCCACCTGGGGGGTGGCATTGAGGGATTCGTGGTCCACCCTGCAGATGACCGCCACTCCGTCGTCGCTCCTGTCCACTCGGAAGTCCAGTGTGCTGCTGACAGTGAAAGTCTTGCGATTTGCATCTTCTTCTTTCAAGTATTTCACATCTGAGAGTAAAATATAAATGAAAAATTTCTGTGACATTCCCTTTCAAAATGTAACAGGGTCCATGTCCTTGAAACACTCCCTGGAAGCGCCTTCTCCCTATCTTGATCAGTTTTTTAAAAAGCAAATATTGGTTAGTTTAACATTCCATCTATTTGAATTTGAGAAAATAAAAAATATACTACTTCAAAAATAAACTTTCAAAGTTAAATAGAGTAGGGTGGGACACATAGCTTTTATTCCTTAGTTGGTGGCATTTTTTGGACTCAGGCCATTTTACAGTATTCATCTCCCTTCTTCGAATTTCAGTTTTATCACAGGAGAATCTCAATTCTCCGAGCCACAGCACATTTGGGAGGAGCATTTTCACAACTCCCTGGTTATGCCTAAAAAGAAGTACACCACCATTTGAGCTAAGATTTCAACATGAACAATGTGAGGCTGGGGAACACCTAAGATGCCATCTTTGGTAAAGAAAATAAGTAAGTAGACACCTGAATATTTTGAATATTTAAATATATATATTTGCCGTAAAATTTCCATTGAGAAAAATGCTCTTTCAACTTGACTTGAGAATACTTCCCTCAAGATGTGAAACTTACTGTGCACGATTCAGGTTCATCATTGAACGGTGCACTTAGTGATTATTTGTTCTCTGTGTAAAGAGGTTTAATAATATTTTCATTTAATTTAAAATTTCTCAAGTCTAAAGTAGCTGATAAGGGCAATTTTAATGGATTAGAAATCAAAATCATAGACTAAGGTTAAGGTATCATTACAGCAAGATCTAAATACAGTTGAGAAAATATGCTGTTCTGTTTTCTTAGGCTCACATTTAAAATGAACAATGATATTTTCAGGGGAAAAAATATTTTATATCAAGTGCATAAAATACTTCAGTTTACCATATATTATATCAATTATTTTTAAACATTTATGTTGGCAACAAATTAATATAAATTCAGCTACTCCATTTTGTGCTCTATGCAAAAATTGATTCTGAAAATAATATTGCATTTGATATATTGGATGTGCAGATATTTGCATGGTCCATTGAGTTTTACTTATTTGCAGAGGTATGACTTTCTCTTATTAATTAAAAAAAATAAAATGATATTAATACAGGATAAAACTAAATAAATGTTATGTCTTGTTTTTGAAAATATGTTTATGATTATGTTTACAATTTAGATAAAAATTACCTAATTAAAGTTTCACTACAAAAAAAAGTTTTATGCAATTTTGGCAATTTTTCAGCGTAAGACAACCTCTAAACTTTGAAAGGGTAGGAAAAGTATAAAATCTTAATTTTGTCTTTTAACTATAAATAAATAATATAAAACACAGAGTTTTCCATGAACATGTATCTTATGAAGTATTTCATTTTTGCTAACCAAAGTCATTTCTAAGATTTTTGCAGTTGAAAAGTAGTTTCAATATCAGTTAAAAAAAAAAAAAAATTAAAATAAAAAGATGAAACGACCTTTACCAGTTAAAATATGCCAGAATATGATAGATGCATTTAGAGTTCTTTGCTGCACTAAATAAAAAAAAATGAAGCTCTTTCATTTTTCAGTGTCTCATAGATTTGTACAAAATGTTCCCTTGTTTTTACATTTTATTTCCTATAAATGTATATCCATTGTTTTCTTGTTCATAGCTCTAAGTGGTGGCAGTGTAAGAAAATTTAGATCTTTGGAGAAAACCCTTTTTTTTTTTTTTAATTGATCTGAGAGAGGGAAGATAAGGGGTGGAGGGGGGGAGAGAGAGAGAGAGAGAGAGAGAGGGAGAGGAGAAACATTAGTGTGAAAGTGAAGCACCATAGACTGATCATCCCNGAGAGAGAGAGAGAGAGAGAGAGGGAGAGGAGAAACCTTAGTGTGAAAGTGAAGCACCATAGACTGATCATCCCAACCTTCCCTCCCCCTGCAAGTGCCCCAACAGGAATCTAACCCACCACCGTTCTGTGTACAGGAAGATGCTCCAACCAACTGAGCCACACTGGCCAGGATGAAAACCACTTTTATAACTGTTATGCAACATCTGAAATATTATTCCAAAATATTGGTGCTAATTGTTTAATAGAATAACAGCTACATTTTAAGAACACACACATCTGCTTCCTTAGCTATTTTGGTTTTCTGTACAAAAGCATCATTTAATGTAATATTAATTGGACGCATAAAACCTGATAGCAATTGCATCTAACATAAAATTTTAATGAGTATCACTCAAATAAAATAAACAAAAGCATAATTTGTTGCTTTAATTTTTTTCTTATTGATTTCAGAGGGTGGAAGGGAGAGGGAGAGAGAGATAGAAACATCAATGATGAGAGAGTCACTGATCTGCTGATTGGCCGCCTCCTGCAAGCCCCCTACTAAGGACCTGGGCATATGTCCTGACCAGGAACTGAACGGTGACCTCCTGGTTCATGAGTCGATGCTCAACCACTGAACCACACAGGCCGGGCTAATTTGTTGCTTTAATAATAGCTTATGTGACAGCTTTTAAGTTACCAGAAGGCATAACATGAACAGGAAAATGCATTAAAAAGAGCCAATCATACTATCTTTCCCATTTTTTTATGCTGACCCCTTCCTCCTGGAAGAAACAGACAAAAAAATAGTATTTAAACTTTATTTCTATTTTCTCTTTCTAGCTTTATAAAATAACTGATGCATTACATAGCTGCAGATCAACAGAAGTTTTCTTTATGTTGCATAGTTCATTTTTTGATTCTCTGTGTATTTTTGTTTCATGTCCGGTCTTGTTCTAGAGAGTTCTATTTTTTCTCCTTTGTCATGTCTCTAATGGCCATCGTGATCTAGAGCAGCATTTCTAAAACTGGAATGTGCTTATTAATCACTTTGGATCTTATTAATATTCAGATTCTGACCAAATATGTTGTGAGGTGGAGCCTGAGAGTCTGATGCTGGTGCACTGACGATAGTTTCAGGAGCAACGGCATAGTGGACACCAGATACATGGACACCAGAAATATAACCAAAGGCAAAGAGAGGATACTGGAATATTGGGACTTACTCTGCACACCTACCTTTCTTCTTTCTGGCTTTCCTTTTCTTTTTTGTCTCCCTCTCTCTCTCTCTCTCTCTCTCTCCCTGAATCCCTGAATCCCTCCCTCCCTGCCTTTCTCCCTTCCTTTCTTCATCCTTCCCTTTCCTCTCTCTCACCTCTTTTCTTAAGCTTCCATTCTACCTTTACTGTTTTAAAATATATCTATTTCTTCTTATTTTGCATTTTTCAAAATAAGCACATGGGTGTGACGGTGAGCAAAAGTTGATGGCAAATAATGAACAGAGGCATTTGTAGGATTACTTCCCTTCATAATCTTTGCAGCTACATCCCTATTTTTCTCCAATGTAAATTCTGGACATAGATAGAAAACTAGGAAGACTAGTTAATTCCATCGTTTCTATTGGGGGGTAAAGTTCTATGTTTGCCCCCTGGAGAGCAAGCGCTGTCAGGTCAGGTGCCGCAGGTCTAATCATGCCTGGCTGGAGCCTCATGTCGCAGACCAGGTGGTGTACAAACAGCAGAAACTGATTTCTCACAGTTCTGGATGCTGGAAGTCCAAGATCTAGGTTCAGACACACTCAGTGTGTGGGGAGAACTTGCTTCCTGGTCCATAGAGGGCTGTCTTCTCCGTGTCCAAGTGTGGCAGAAGGGGCTGAAGGAGCTCTCTGGGCTTTTTTAAATAAGGTCACAATCTCAGTCATAATCTTCCAAAGGCCCCACTTGCTAATATCACATTGAAAATTAGGTTTGAACATATGAATTTGGTGGGGGAGGGGAGGAAACCTTACAATAACATCCTTTCACTTGAGAATGAGTCAAGTGAGCCTCAGTGCCATTAACCAAAAGTCTGAACACGAGAAGTCAACTTTCACTTGTAACCTCTTCTAAAAAAATATTATATTCTGTGCACAACTTTTCCTTGGGCTGAATCAAAAAGTTTACACCATCTGACTAAAAAATATAAAAAGAAATTACCCGACTCTAAGCCTGATGCCTCAGGGTGGTCACTATATTTTTGTAGATTATATATATTACTTCTCTAGAAGACTGAAAGATTTATTCTATTTTATATGGAAAAATATGTTGTATTACAGGTCCCCAAAATAATAAAAGATGGCAGAAAGTTAAAAATAAAAGCCCATCCCTTAGAGAAAACTCTATGAGAGAGAAAATAAAATATCCATTTTAGCAAACTCTAAACAAATGTGACTGCTTTGACACATCTATGATGATGCAGTTCTAGTTCTCCAATGAGTTATTGTATGTAGCATTCAGCATATGTCAGAAAAATCAACCTGCCCCGCATCACCTATTATGAAAATGAATCATTTGCATCAGTAAAACATGTGCTGAGAAACTGGCTTTCTAAATGTTGTGATGTTTCTCTGTACTATATACTACCATAGTTTTATAGATTAATTTTCAATGGGTTTTCTTGTTTTCTGAGTAACATATCATTTTTAAATTCTAATCACCCACTAGGACATTTATAAGATTCAATATAATTCATATATTTATAAAATAAAAGAGAATTTGGAATTTTAATGTTGATTGTTTCTTGCTTTTATACTATTTTTCTCCTCTATTCCTCCGCTCCCTTCTTCTCTCTCTTTTATTTTCTTTCCCTCCAGTCTTAATTTTTATGCTTCTGTATAGTTTTAATACCGAGATCTAGGATAGAGTTTAGAACATTGTAAATGCTTAATAAGTATGTTTTGAATTAATAAAAATGATGGCCATTTTCACTCAGGCAATGCGTTCTATTATTTCTAGTAAATAGCTTCATTCCATGCCAATGTGTGTAATCTGAGGGCAGTTGTATCAATTTGTCATTACTTTTCTTTGTAGTGGATCTCTTTTGAAATTGTTTGATCACTTTCCTGAAAAGTTAGTCAAATCCCTTAAATAAGTAAGAAGTTTCTGTTTCGGGACAGTAAAAAAGCGACAGATTATCAAAGGTTAG